ATGATTATATATTTTAATTTATATTATTTTTTCTCTACTTTTTTGTAGACGAATTGTATACGGAAGCAATGAAATCATCGTTCCTGTGCAAAGCATAGGCGTATTACTTTTGTTAGAAGTTTTAAATCCATTTTACATTTTTCAAGTTTTCACTCTTTGTGTATGGTTTGCAGAAGGCTATTTGTATTATACTGCAGCGATCATATGTATGTCATTGTTTGGAATTATAAGTTCTATAATACAAACTCGTAAGGTAAAAATATTATTTAATATTCTGTGTTAACGTTTCGAGCCAGGTTCTATTTAAATACACCCCAATATTATAATAAAAAACAATTACAATTATTATAATAAAAAATTTTTTAAAATATTATTTTAAAGTAATATTATTTCAAAATTTTAAAATATTGCTTCTACAAAATCTAAATAACTATCGAAAATCTATAAAATAAAAGTTATTTTACGAAATCATGTTTTATTAGATAGAAGTTTAATGTTAACATGTGAATAATTACAGAAAACTGAAGGACGTTATTCACTTTCTAATTCTTACAACCTCGCTATATTTGTTCTATAACATATAGTAGAACAAGGTAGTCTTCTCTTAGACAATTTACTAGAATTTCTGTTTATTGTAAGTATTTAAATGCCCAAGGCTCAAAGCGTAAATATAATTGTCCAATAATTCTTTAAAATCTTTATTTATATTAAAATGAGAAACATTTTGCAGAATCAAATTAATCTTCGTGGTACAGTGGCATCAACAGAAACTGTTCGCGTGTATAGAAATTCTAAAGTAGTAGAAAACATACCCAGTAGTGATTTGGTACCGGGTGATATCATAGAATTACCTAAACATCAAGCTATTGTTGTTTGTGATGCAGTATTATTAACTGGACAATGCATTTTAAACGAATCAATGCTAACTGGTACAATTGAACAACAATTAGATTTGTTGTATATTTTTATATATTTATTCGTATTTTTTTCATTGAATATATAATTTTAGGAGAATCTGTACCGGTGACGAAAACTCCTTTGCCATCTCGTCACATTTTGTATGATTCTAAAGAATGTTCTCATCATACAATGTATAGCGGTACCACTATTATCCAAACCAGGTATTATTATATTTGAAAATATAATTGTATTGTAATATAATTACTACAAACATTAAGAATTCTAAATTATTAATATTTTCGTTGTTAGAAATTACGGCGATCATCCAGTTCTAGCTCGAGTTATCCGAACAGGATTTCATACTAATAAAGGTTCTTTAGTTGCGGCCATTTTGTATCCACCTCCGGCAGATTTTAAGTTTGATCAAGATTCTTACAAATTTATTGGCATATTAGCATTTATTGCAACATGCGGTTTCATCTATACTATTGTGACCAAAGTACGTTTTATATTTTAATTTAATAATTTAATGTAAATAAAATATTATATTTCTATTTTTTTCTAGGTTTCCAGGGGAATTACAGCCGGAGATATAGCGATAAAAGCCTTGGATATAATAACAATAGTAATTCCACCGGCATTACCAGCTGCAATGACGGTGGGAAAATTATACGCTCAAGTACGACTAAAACGAGCGCAAATATATTGTATTAACAATAGAGTTATTAACGTATCTGGTAGCATAAATTGCGTATGTTTTGATAAGGTAAAAATGTAGTTTCCATACAATTCTATACAATTATATACAATATATCTAAGAATATTATATTTTTTTATCTATACATTATTATAGACTGGTACTCTGACAGAAGATGGTTTGGATATATGGGGTATTGTACCTTGCACAAATGGAATTCTTGGTGAATCAGAAAGAACTATTCCTAAATTAAATGATCATCCTCTTTTTGAAGGAATGTTAGTTTGTCATAGTTTAACATTAATTGATGGTAAACTCTGTGGTGATCCTTTAGATGTTAAGGTAGATTTTATTAACATTATGTGTTAAATTGAAAAAAATTTTTTTAAATTTAGAAAAGAAAAAGAAAAAGTAACTATTTATTTTTTACTTTAGATGTTTGAAAGTACCGGATGGATATTAGAAGAGTTCAATAATGAACATTCGCATAAATATGATTTTATAGCATCTACAATTTTAAAACCACCGAAAAACAATAATTTTACGCAAAATATGAATGAAATATCAGAAATCGGAATAGTACAACAATATCAATTCTCAAGCTCTCTTCAAAGGATGTCTGTAATAATACGCATTCTAGGTTCAGATACATACAAAGCCTATACAAAAGGATCACCTGAAATAATATTCAGTTTAAGTAAACCCGAAACTATCCCGAAAGATATAATGATTTCTTTAAAATATTATACGGAACAAGGTTATCGAGTAATAGCTATGGGACGAACAGAATTACCTGAAAATAGTAATAAAGTAAAAATGATAATTTTAATATTTATTTTATGAATTTTTATTTATATAAGTATTAATTTTTAATGACATTTTCTTTGCTTTTATAGATAATGAAATTACCTCGGGATGCAGTTGAACAGAATCTCGAATTCCTAGGTTTAGTTATTATGGAAAACAGATTAAAAATACCAACTATACCAGTTATTAAAGAATTAAGGACGGCTAACATACATATTTTGATGATTACAGGTAATTAGAGTTTAGCAAGTGTGTGCTAAAACACGTTTATTAGAAAATTATTAATTGTTAGATAACGAAATAATTTATTTACTTTTCACAATTGCAGGAGATAATATTCAAACTGCAGTAAGTGTTGCAAAAGAATGTGGTATTTTATCAATACAAGAATTTGTGATAGATGTAACTGTAGTTATGGAGGAAAATAAATTACAACCTGAAATTTATTTTAATGCTCAAGAAATATCGCCAAAATTGGTAATCTTCAATTCCTTTAAAAATTAAAAAATTTGATATTTTAGAATAATAAAAATTATGATTATTTTATTTTTTCAGAGTTTTCATGATAAAAAATTTAATATATCAGAATTGAAAGATATAGAAAGAAATATAAACAGTATTAATTATCGTTTCGCATTGACAGGCCAGTCATGGCAATTATTGCGTGAATATTATCCGGATATTGTGCCAAAAATTTGTGTCCGTGGTGCAATATTTGCACGAATGACAAGCGATCAAAAACAACAATTAGTTCTGGAATTGATGCAACTCGGTTATTATGTGGGTATGGATCTATATTTAATATTTACTATACATTAATCTCATTATTCCGACAATATTCATTTCAAAATGTTTCGTAAATATTATAGCGATGTGTGGAGATGGTGCTAATGATTGCGGTGCTTTGAGAGCTGCACATGCGGGTATATCTTTATCCGAAGCAGAATCTAGGTATTAAAGAATATTATTTCTTTGTTTTTATATAATATAATATAACAACTTCACATTTAATTTTCATTTTTTTTTTTTTTGATAAATTCATTGTATGATTTTTGTATCATAAATTTTTAAAAGTTGAACTTATATTTTCACTTTTTTTTTAAATTATAGAAAATTCCTGAAAAAAATAATTTTTTATTTAAAAAGAATTAATTAAATTTTTATTGATATATTGTATTTAAATTATTTTTAATGTTCTAATGTTCTAATGTTCTAATGTTCTTCAGCATTCTAATTAAATATTGAATATATATAATTTTTAGTGTCGCCAGTCCTTTCACATCCAAAATACCGGATATAACCTGCGTTCCAAAGGTGATAAAGGAAGGTCGCGCTGCTTTGGTTACATCATTTGGAATATTCAAATTTATGGTCACTTATTCTTTGACAGAATTTTTATCCGTTATTATTCTTTATTCTATCGATTCAAATTTGACAGATTTAGAGTTTCTCTTTATCGATATTTGTCTCATCGTTAACTTTGCTTCTTTTTTTGGAAAAACTCAAGCATATGAAAAGCAATTAGTAAAAAAACCTCCTATGACTAGTCTATTAAGTTTTACATCGATTTTTTCTTTGTCTATACATATGTTGATAATGACAATTTTTCAAGGTATAGCTTATTATATGGTACGCACTTTTCCATGGTTCACACCATTTATTTATGACGAAAAAATTGGATACATATGTTATGAAAATTATTCAGTTTATTGTGTTTCTATGTTTCAATACATAACAATGGCTATAATATTTTCACGTGGAAAACCATATCGTAAAGAAATTTATACAAATATTGCATTCACGTTTTCTATAATTATGTTAACCATCATTTGTATCTATATCACAATTTATCCTGCAAATTGGATAATAAATTTACTTCAATTACTTGTACCTCCAATGTTCGATTGGAGAATTATTATTTTAATACTCGCTTTTACGAACTTTGTAGTTTGTCTTTTCGTTGAATCATTTGTCATAGAATATTTAATTGAGAGAAAATTGAAATCGAAATTTTATAAACCTGAGAAGTCTAAAAAAGAATATTTAAGAATAGAACACGAATTAAAGCATAATTTAAATTGGCCAATACTTAGTAAAGAATTACCAATATTACCATTAACACCGAATGTAGAAAATATCATTAATGTAGCATATACAGAAGAACAACTTTATGTTAATAAAACAAAAAAGAATTTAAAAAGCAATAATTTTCATGAAACAATAGAATCATCTAAAAAAAATAATGGCTTATATGCATTTGATAATTATACATATGTAGATGATGAAATACCACAAAATACAAATATGATAACTAGATTTTAAATCTTACTTTAGAAATATATTTTAAATTATAAATTTTCAATAATAATAATATATTTACATAAAATATTTTTGAAGTTCAAAATAATTACCTATAAAATAACATTTACTTATATACGTAATTATTGTACGTTTTTATATGTATAATAATTATATAAATATGTAATATAACGATATTTAATAATTTATTAACATCATAAAATATATTGTTTTTTCATAAAAAATTTTAATACAATATAAAATGTATTTATCATATATATGTATATTTATTTTTTGCTCAATAGAAAATTTGAGTATTCATGAAATAAAACAAATTACATATCATAAGACGAGATTTTTTATCATCTTTAGATCCAATGATTTCAATTTTTTTAGCATTTTCTGTAATATGAAAAATAATTGCATTATTCATAAATTTATACAATTATAAATATATTTTTATAAATGTTTTTTATGAATATATTTACCTATAATATCTTTATAATTTATTACAAGTTCATTCTGAATCCAATCTCTATAACGAAGCACAATCTTATTTATTATTTGTATTGTATTTTCATGTATTTTTGGTTTTAACAAAAAATTTGGCAAAATTGAAATAAATTTTTTAAATGCATTTTCCCTACAATACAAACATTATTATAAAAAGATAAAAAAAGATAGAATAAAATTATAATATCAATTACCTATGCAATTCATGTAAAGTATGATCTAACATTATGTCGCTAATGACAGAAAATAATTGTAATTGCATTTCTTTTTTAAATTGATTACAACATATATTTACAATTAATTGTAAGGTTTTATTCAAATCAAAATGATTTTTATACCAAATTTTACTTGCTTTTAAAAATAATATTCTTAAAAGTTTAATCAATTGTGGTAATGCAACATTATTTGTATCAGACCAATTTTCAAGTTTTTCTGGATAAGAAAAAGCAATTAATATATATTGTTTAATAGTTAATTACTTAATTAGTAATCTCAAAAATTAATTTTATTACATTTACCATTTAAATATTTAATAACACATATACAATAATTTTTATTTAATTTAGACATAATTTTATCATCTTTCTCTATGGATGTAAACCATACATAAATTTGACAAATTCCTAAGTTATATCCTAAACAAATATCATATGATTCATCCATAGAAAAATCTTGTTGACGTTTCTTCTTATTTCTTAATGAAGAAAGAAAATTTCCAACTGCATTTAATTTATTATATGGAAATTTCAAAAATAAATTTTTCGTATAAGAATTCTCAAAATTATTTTTAAACCAAAATTTCATATTTATATCACATTCTGTATGCAAAATATCTATGCACTCAATTATTAATTGTATTATTCCTATTATACTTTTTAATAATTCTAATGCTTCTATAGAAATTAAAAGTGTAGAATTCTCTACATTTTTATCATTTGGACATACTTCAATCCAACTCTCAAGTATAAGTGGCATTAATAATTCTACATATTTCATAAATTTATCTGCATTCAAACTGTTATCAATATTATTTTTTTCCAAATTGTTAAATTTCTCAAAATCAATTTCATAATTTTGAATATTTGTTTTCATATAAATAGGAACATATCTAATATTTTTATTCACATTTATAACTTTTATATTTTCATTTAAACTAATAGTCTGTTGAAATTTAAAATAAGTAACAATAGAATTAAACATAGTAGCAAGTCTCTCCAATACTTTTATCCGCCATTTAATATTAGTGTTTTTGGAATTTAAAGTTGTTACTAATTGTCTTCCAGGTTTCATTTCTGTATGCAATTTAGAAATCATATCTAAAAAATTTGGCAATATTTTATAACTATTTTTTGCTAAAATGTTATTACAATTTTGTACAAGCACATCCAAAAAAAGTAAAGCATCTTCTTTAATATGAGAATCTATGTGTGTCATAGCACATCTTAAATAAGAAATCAATATATCACAATATGGATTAAGCTGATCATTAGAAATTGGACCAAGAATTAGACTCAAAACTTTTAAAGAATTACGTCTTATATCTTTCTCTTTATCAAGAGACAAGGCACAAATGCCTTGCAAAAGAGATCCCAATTGTGAATTTAATAATTTTACAGTATGTTCTGATAAAATTTCTTTTAATTCCTTTACAGCATCTTGTCGAACTGTTGAATTATGATGTTGTAAACGTAATAACAAATCCTAAAAAAAAAAATGTTTAATCATCAATCAATTTAATCAATTTTAAAGAGAAAAAATTACAAATACCTTGACATTGAGTTTTCTTTTACTAAGTATTTCCATTTCATCATGTTGTTTAAATTGTTCTCGTATTAAAATTTTTTTAATTTTAAATGACGTATCTGTGATATTTAATCCTTTTGGTAGATGTTTTGTCTTTGTTATTTTTAATTTTATTTTTGCCTTTTCAGATTTTAGGCGTTTTAAATGTTTATGGTTCTTACCCATGTTTATTAAATTATGATTATAATGATTATATAAGTAATATAATATATTTCTATTAAATTTATATTAAAAAAAGTGTTATGTATATCTTTATTTTAATTTTAGGTTATAATATTAATAGTTATAGTTATAATATTAATATAATTTATTAATTTTTATAGATATTAATTTTTTTTAATACAAAATGATATTATATATAAAAATATATATAGATTTTATTATTTATTCCTTAATATATAGTAATTTAATTAAAAATATAACATATCAAATAAGATGGAAAATATACTATTTTTAAAATAGCAAGTAATATATATAATTTTTCACCTCATAGAATTTCATATTTCATGTTTTGAAATACTAATAATCGTAATAAAATCGATAAATTGAAAAATCAGATCAAATGTTTTCTTTTATTCTAAAAATGAATTTAGACTTTAATAAAATAATTCTTTTTGATAATAAAAATAAGAATTTATATAAATATTTTTTATCAATCTAAATTACATATATTTTTATGAATTTTTGATTCAAATCTAGTTATATTAAAATATAAATTTCAAAATATATAAAGTTTTATAATATAATATATATCTATTATTTATTAGATCTTATTTATGACGACAATCTGTATTATATTTCATTCATGATTGTATACCCACGAGGTATAGACAACGGACAAATAGTCATGTGTTTTCATGCATAATAATTTAAAGTGGTATATAAACGTGTATTTCTTTACTCTTTCTGTCGATAACAATGCAAATTTCTTTTATCTATTTAGAGACAGTAATCTGCAAATGTCTATAAGAAAGATTTTTAGATAATAAAATTGATATTTTATATACACGTATAACAGTATTACTGTAAACTTTTTCACTAATCTCTATAACTACATTACATTAAATCAATTTAAAAATATTTGCATATTTGGTTTTTCAAATAATTAATTCGATTCTATACGTTTGTATATTATGACATAGCAAATTTCTTCTAAAAAGAAAGGTAATTAATTTAATTTTTCAATGTTTATCGTTAAAATTTTGCAATAATAATAACATGATCATTAATTTTTTTCTTATAAAAAAATGTTATATTTTTTTCTTCTTATCATATATCAATATCATGTTATGTTAGTAATATAAATGAATTTATAATTTTTAAAGAAATTAAATCTTTTATTTGAAATTATATTATTTTTATCTATAATATATTTTTAAATCTATCAATATTAATTTTTTTATGTACATTTACTTAAAAATAATAAATAATTCCAATAAAAGTATAAATTTTCAAAATTAAATATTAATTTATAAATGTGCTTTATATCCAAATGTTTTTTTATAAAATTTCAATTTTAATGAATTTTATATTTCATTGTAATGAATATTTATATTTTATATAATGAAACTTAGATGTTTTTAATCAATAATGCAATAATACTTATATAATCATCATGTAAAATTATAAATCATATCATATTATAATAAAATATTTTTATACTTTTTTAAATGTTTTTTTAAATATCTAGATATTTATATGTATAGATAATAATCAATAATAAAATAAAATGATTTGTTATTTTATATAAATATATTATTATAATATATAATATATATATATATATATTATATATTTTATATAATTAAAAATATATAAATATATTTATAGTTTATATATTATAGTTTTTCAGATGTTTTAATTGACAAATGTCTTAGAATTACTTTTTATTTTATTAAATATTTAATCACATTGACATAAAAAAAATAATATAACCAATAATATGATCAATAAAGAAATATAAAAAATTTTACTTTTAAAGAATTATTTTTATGATTTTTTAGAGTACATTAAAATTTTGGACAATTAAAGATGAATATAACAATGTCTTATTGTCCTCCAAATATTACTTTCATTGATATTTGGATAGACCATGGAATGTCCAAATGTTTTATGGATACTATCAGTATCACTATTATTTCATCATATTTATTAATTTTTGGAACAATTCAACTTTGGATATATCAAAAATATGGAACAGAAACTGCTACAACTTTATTGCCTAAAAATAAATTATATATTGTGCAAAAATTCTTTCTTTATTTTGTTCCAATATTGAGTATAATAAGAATAATTTTACAAGGAACAATTTTAAATGACACTAAAATATATGGTTATATGGTAAGAGATTTTCTTTAATTTTTATACATAATAATGTTTTGAAATGTTTTTAATTTTAAAAATAAATTATTTCAATATTTTTTTAGATACTTACAACAATATTAACATTAATTGTATATCCATATTCAATATATATATTAAAAATTGAAAGACATAAATTATTACCAAGTGTGCCACCAAGAGGACATGGTTTTGTGTTATTGGGCTTTTGGACTTTGGCATTTGTTTCAGAAAATCTTGTATTTGTTAATATTGGAAAACTTGAATGGTGGTTTCATTTAAATACGTAAGTTTCATAATAATGTATTTTCTTTATATATATAATATAATTATATATGTATTTTTATATTAATGGAGCATCTACATATATTTACAGCATTTGGAATATCTTATATCTATATATATATATATATATATATATGTGCTATTTACAGATTAACAGATCAGATTGAAATGGCACTATTCATTCTACGTTATGTCAGCAATCTTATCATTTTTGCTTTAGGCCTCAAAGCTCCAGGAATAATTGGTAATACAGATCCTGAATATCATACTCTAAATAATGGTTTACAGTCGAGATATTATCAAGGTGTAAGTCATTGAAATATAATATTATTATAATTTGAATATTTTTTAATTGAAAAAAGATTTTATAATTATTGCTAAAATAAGTAAATTATAGAAAAGAAAAATTTTTTATATTAATATATAAATAATTTGAAAAATAAAAAATTCATTTTTATTGATTTATTAACTAAATTTTATTTTATACAATACATTTTAATATAATATAATATTTTTAGCGATCTGAGGATACTAGCTCTACATGGAAAAATGTGTGGCATAAGATAAAAATTTTAACACCATTTTTATGGCCAAAACCTCTCATACTTCAATTACGTGTTATTTTTTGCTTTGGATTACTTATATCAGGACGTTTAATTAATTTATATGTTCCAATTTACAATAAAAAAATTGTAGATAGTATTTCTGAAACTCCTGAGTTATTTAGGTATATAAAACTTTTATTAAAATAATAAAAAAAAAAAAGAGAAAAAAAAATATTATTGTATAATATATTTAATTTTTATAATAGGTGGGATTTTATATTAATATATGTAGCATTTAAATTCTTGCAAGGTGGTGGTACAGGTGGTATGGGATTATTAAATAATCTTAGATCATTTCTATGGATCCGCATACAACAGTATACAACTCGTGAAATAGAAGTAGAATTATTTAGGTAAACTATATTTTTCTATTTTTTATTTTCATAAAATTTAAATTTCAAGTTTTATTTAAATATTTAAATATTTAAATATTTAAATATTTAAATATGTAATAATATTTAAATTTTCTTTTTACAAACACATTTTCAGACACTTACACAGTTTAAGTTTACGTTGGCATCTTGGAAGAAAAACTGGAGAAGTCTTAAAAGTTATGGATCGTGGTACAGATTCTGTAAACAATCTTCTCAATTATATTTTGTTTTCAATTGTTCCAACAATAATTGATATTATTGTAGCTGTTGCATTTTTTATTGTTGCTTTTAATAAATGGTTTGGTTTAATTGTATTTCTAACTATGAGTCTTTATATAGGTAAATATTATAATTAATTCTTTTTGATATTAAAATCATTAAAATCATAACAAATTTTTTTTCTATTCAATTTTAATATTTATATATAATTTTTATTTGTATCAGCTGCTACAATTATGGTTACTGAATGGCGTACTAAGTTCCAGAGACGTATGAATTTAGCAGATAATGCTCAAAAAGCACGAAGTGTTGATAGTTTGCTTAATTTTGAAACGGTTAAATATTATGGAGCAGAATCATATGAAGTTGATAGTTATAGGAAAGCAATATTGGAATTCCAAATTGCAGAATGGAAGTCAATGATAACATTAAATATTTTAAATACTTTACAAAACATAATTGTTTGTAGTGGTTTACTTACTGGTTCTTTACTTTGTTTACATATGGTTAGTTCTAATAAAATTAAAACAAAATTTTTATTTTTTAATATTTAACAATTGTATATATAATATATATAATTGATTATAGGTTGTAACCAAGCAAGGTTTAACCATTGGTGATTATGTTTTATTTGCAAGTTATATTATTCAACTTTATGTGCCATTAAATTGGTTTGGAACATATTATCGGTAAGAATTTATTCGAATAATATTATAAATTTTATTATTATTTATTCTAATTATTATATTATTATATCATTTATTCTATTTAAAAATAATTTTATTTATAAATATAAATATTTTTTTATTTACAGTGCTATACAAAAAAATTTTGTTGACATGGAAAATATGTTTGATCTTTTAAGAGAAGAACAAGAAGTTATCAATGCTCCAGGCGCTGGTCCATTAATAATAAAACGTGGTCAAGTAGAATTTGCAAATGTGACATTTAGTTATACATCCGAGAAAATTATATTAAAAAATATTAGTTTCATTGTACCAGCAGGAAAAACTGTTGCATTGGTTGGACCATCTGGATCTGGAAAATCTACTATTGTACGATTATTATTTAGGTTTTATGATGTAGAACAAGGTGCAATTTTAATCGATGGTCAAAATATTAAAACTGTTACTCAAGATTCTTTAAGACGATCTATAGGTGTTGTACCTCAAGATACAGTATTATTTAATAATACAATAAAATATAATATTCAATATGGTCGCATCGAAGCTATAGATGCGGATATAATGTCAGCAGCTAGAAATGCCGATATTCACGAAAGAATTCTTTCATTTCCAAATGGTTATGAAACACAGGTGAAGATTCAATAATGAAATTGTTTTTAATCTTCTGATTTTTCATTATATTTATTTTATTTGATTATATATAGGTTGGTGAAAGAGGTCTTCGTTTAAGTGGTGGAGAAAAACAACGTGTTGCTATTGCACGAACAATATTGAAGGAACCTGCGATTGTACTTTTAGATGAAGCAACAAGTGCACTCGATACACAAACAGAACGCAACATTCAAGCAGCTTTAAGTAGAGTTTGTGCAAATCGAACAACTATTATCATAGCACACAGATTATCCACGATAATACACGCCGATGAAATACTTGTTTTAAAAGATGGAGAAATCATAGAAAGAGGAAAACACGAAGAACTAATTTCTTATAATGGAATGTACTATTCCATGTGGCAAGCACAATTGCAAAATGATCAAGAAACAACAAAAGTTTCAAACAATATTCAGGAAAATGAAGCAACAAAATCTTAATTACATATGACTCATTTGTTAAATTTATTGATTTAAAATATACATGTACCTGTTTATGATGAAGTTATTTGTATAAAATCATTTGAGTAAAATCATTTGAATAATTTATTAAAATATTGTTATAAATTTGAATAATCATTTCAATTCAGTCTTTCATCATTTCATCTATTTTAAATTTATACAAAATGTGATAGAATAGAATTTACTATATATATATATATAGTATATATATATATATATAGTATATATNATATTATTGATAAAATGTATATTTTAGATAAGTGTTCCTGAGATAAAATAAAAGAAATTTTACTTTTAAAGATAATAAATAAAATATAAATTAATGTCTATGTTATTTGACTTATAAATTCTATATTTAATTTTAAGTAAAAGTTTTTAATCAACTGTTTATAATTGTATAATATCATTTATTATATCAAAAATAAATAATTAAAATTTAATAGTTATAATTTTTTTTATACAATGTTTATAATATAGTATTAACTTTATAATATTTTATTTTACTTTTATAATATTAACTTTCTTCTACTTGTTCAGCTGGAGAAGGAATTGTGCTTGCAAATGCTCCATCTGGTACCCAACCAGATTCATCAATGGGAGCTGTTACAGTTACTTCATTTGCACCCCAAAAATAATAACTTGTAAAAAACATCCATAATAAAGCATACACTACCTAATAATGTAAATAATTAAAAAAGACATTATTTTAATATTGAATTTTAAATATACATATAAACTTTTTTAAATTAATTATCTAATAAAATATTAAAATTTCATAAATTTCTTATAAAATTTATCCATCAAAAAAGATAAAAAATTACTTTGAAAGTAATTTTAATTTCTTCTCCATTAACCATATTGAAAATTATGAATACAATATGCTCATTTCGAATTATTTTCTATAGTAAAAAGATTAATTGCACTTTACAATTTTTTTATTAAATTTATATGTGAAAGTAATTTCAAATGATATAATATTGTAAAATTTACATCACTCTTTCATTTGTAAATTTTTTATGAATTAATTTATGAATTCATTACTCTATTACTCTATAAATTTAAAAAATATATCTTAAAATTATTTGTAAACAACTGACGATTACCTAACTTAAACTGCAGACTAGTCTCAATGGTAACGCATATGACGTGTATCAAGATTCAAGATGTTTGTGGGTAAATAAAAAAACGTCAGGTGGATTGTTATATTTTTTTTATTATGCTTAATTAAAAATGAATAGTCTTGGTTTAAGTTTAATTCTAAAAATGGGCTGCATATGCTCCAAGGAAACAATTACAATAAATTCAAGAAATTATACAGTTCGTGAACATCTTGGAGAAGGGCAAGTTTAACAAATAATAAAACAAAATTATATAAATTATTTTAAAAAGTCATCATCTTAATTTTATACAAATTAATGTTCTTTTTCATATATTATTGTACTATATCCGATCTCATTAATGTAGGCATAAATTTTGTTATAATCTTATTATTAATTTAACCTATTCTATACATATTGAAATCAATAATTATTTTTTATTGTAATTATAAGTTACATTTAAATTTATGTATAAATCAATGAAATATTTATTAAATTTAATTTTAATGCAATTTTAGTGGATTTAGCATTGTCCTTCTAGTGGAAGATACAATAACTCATAAGAAATATGCCATTAAAAAGATCATCTGTCATGGATTAGAAGATCAGAGATTAGCAGCAAAAGAAATAGAATATTATAATCTTGTAAAACATCCAAACGTTATAGAATGTATTGATTCTACATATAAAGGGACAATAGATCCTATTATTAATGCAACTAGTGAAGTATTGATTATTTTACCATATTATCATGTAAGTTATATTTCTTTATGTTATATTTCTATAATTCTATATATATATTTCTATAAAAATTTCTATAATATGTTTATAAATGTTTATAATTTTCAATGAAACAAAATATAAATATAACAATAAAATTTTGTATCATTCTAGAGAGGTACACTTGCAAATGAATTAGAGAGACGTGCTAAAAATAAGAATCACATGGGTGCCCTAGATATTTTAAATATTTTTTTACAAATATGTGAAGGTGTAAAAGCATTTCATGAAGCTAAACCAGAACCTCTTGCTCATAGAGATTTAAAGACTGCAAATATACTTCTTGATGATGGAAGTACACCCATTATAATGGATTTAGGTATAATATATATTAATATAAGTAATAAATAATATTTAATTAATATTAATTAAATGAAAATTGAATTTATACAATAGGTTCTGTAGCACCAGCTAGAATTAAAATATGTGGTTCACAAGCAGCACAAACTTTACAGGATTTAGCAGCTGAAAGATGTTCAATGCCATATAGAGCACCAGAATTATTTAATGTTGAAAGTTATTGTATGGTAGATGAGCGGACAGATATTTGGGTAAAATTAATTTCTTGTTAATATTATAATAATTATATCTGTAATTATTAAAATTTTATATATATTTCTTTAGTCTTTAGGATGTATTCTTTATGCACTGTGTTACTTTAAATCACCATTTGATACAGTGTATGAAAGAGGAGACAGTGTTGCTTTAGCTGTAATGAGTGCAAATATTATTTTTCCAGAAGATGCTCCATATACTGAGGTATAATTATAATTAATAATTATAAATTAAAATTAAATTATAAATTAATAATGCTTAATATTTATATGAATTTCTTTTATGCATTTTTTCATTATATATATGTACCAAAAATATATTTGAATTTACAGTTTAAAAAATTTAATGAAATTTAAGAATTATTATTTATTTTATAGGATATACAAAATTTGATTTTATTGATGTTAAAAGTAAATCCTATGGAACGTCCTTATATATATAGTGTTATAGAAAAGGTACATGATATTATCTCAAAGTTAGAAAACAAAGTATGATTATATAAAAAAGAATATTTTCAATATTTATTTAAACATTTATGTACAGATAATTTTATATATTATATATATATTATATATATAATAATGCAAAATGTTTATAAACTTTAACTTAAACTTTATAAACTTAAACTTTAAAAAATGCAATAATACATAAAATAATAATAACAAAATGAAAATTTTAAACAAAACAAGTGCAAACATTGCATTATTTCAACATATCATTTTGTTTGAAATGCTTCATACTTAAAAAGAAAAATAAAAAATTTATAAAATATGAAAGTAAAAATTTTTAAAATATAAGATTTATATACATTTTAAATATGTAAATACTATAATTTTTAAAAAATAATAATTGTATCTATATTACTATCAATATCTGAACAAACTTTGTTATTTTTATTTAAAATTAATATTAATGATAGTGTTTTACTAAAATTAGTTTTGACTAAGTTAATCCCGAATTTTTTGACAAATAATTTCGAATATCTAATTATATTGAATATTTTCATTTTTCCTGAATTATATATTAATATATTATATATATTTATATTATATATTATATATATTTATGATAATATATTATATATATTTTATATAAAATAATATGTAACAATTTCTTTTGCAAAAATTTTCATTACTTTGTTAAGTAGTTTGTTAAGGAATATATAAAAAATGCTAATTATAAAACTTGTAAATTAATTAAGCCACAACAGTAGTATTAGATACATGCCACCAATTAAATACAAATAAGTCCAAGAAATATCTTCAAAGAAAATCCTGAATATAACAAATATTTTTTTATTGAAAAAAAATTATATTGAATTATTTCTTATTTAAGAACAATGAATAAATAATTATTTATTATTCGTATTAGAATTTTACTTCATCATCCTCATGTAATAAACTTTATCTTCCTCTCCACTTCCTTTATAATTCTCATTCTATCTCTTCTTTATCAATCTTATGATTTTATCTCTCTTTTATCATTTTGCCTTCCCTTTTATTATTCTTTCACTATTCTCCCCTTTTTTTTGTTCTTATCCTTCCATCCTTTCTTTGTCATCCTCATCCTCTATTCTTTCTTATTATATTCCTTTATTATCTTCATTCTCACTTTTTTATCATTCTCCTTTGTCATTTTCTCTTTTATCTTTTCTTTTTTTTTTTCCTTATCAAATTTGTTTTCTTCCTTTATCAATTTTTTCTCTTTCTTTTATCAATTCCTTCTTACATCCTCTATCAATTTCTCCATTCCCCTTCTTTCAACCTCACTTCTTTCTTTTTTTTTTATCGATTTCTCTTCCTCCTATTCTTTATTAATTTTTTCTTGCTTTTTTTATTTTTTTCAATTCTGCCTCCTTTTCTGGTAATTAAGAAAAGAATAAATAAAGAAATAAGAGAGATGAAAATAAAAGAAGTGCAAAGAAAAATGATAAAAAAAGGAATGAATATCTCTTCGACAAAAGAAGAAGTAAAATTCTATATGAATAACAATTAATTAGTTTATTTATTATTCTTCAATAATTCAATATAATTTTTTTTTCGATAAAAAGATATGTTATTGTATTCAATAAATTTTCTTCGAATATGTTGTTTGGATTTATTCGTATTCAATTAATGATATACATCTAACATTATCATCGCAATTTGACTAGTCTGTGCTCATGTGCTCCACGATTGACTATTGGTTATTAATTTTTGTTAATAATTCCTTAACAAAACTGTAAAAGTTTTTGTAAACAAAAATGTTTCTTGAAATTATTTCAAAAAATTTTCAATTAATCGATATTTCCATATTTTTGGAATATTATCTATATATATGATAATCATATTAAATAATAAATTCCTAAATTAAATAATGTCAAGAAATAATATTACAATATTACAATAAATCCTGTATTATAAGAATTTTTATAATTATATATATTTTTATAATAACATTTATTTTTTTTTTTAATTATTATATTAGATGAAAATTTTTTAATATTCGATTGAAATAAATATTGTTTTTACATATATATATATATATATACATATATATACATATATATACATATATATTTGTGTTGAACATTATTCTAACAAATTTAAATATTTTAGTATTTTGTATTTTCTGCTAGAATTTTTAAAAGTTTATGCAACAAATTATATTATACGTTAAATTTAATCCTAATATTTGCTATCTAAATTTTACATGCAAATAAATAACGGTGTAAGAATCATACGATATGACGTAATCGCTACGTCACAATACGTCATGATGATCCGGTAATGTTATAATTATTATATTGATATTAATATCATATTAATATGATATTAATAACATTTTTCATTATAAACTAATTGCAAAATAAAATTTCTATTCTATTTATTAATCAAAAAAATAATTCATATAAATAAAAACGAGACAATTTAAATCATGAAAATGCGTCAATAACTTTGAACCACAGTTCACACCGATAATGTCGACGATGTTAACGATGTAAAGTAGTTTTTTCATAAGTCTGTATTTTAAGTACACGTCTTTCATCGGTCTTTCAAATAGTAAAGCTCGTTAAAATATCCTACATTATTAAATCTGTGCGTACAAATTGTGAATTGTAAGTAATATTTCTTTATATTCACATAAATTTTGAAAATTTTTATAATGATGAACTAACCTTATGTGAAAGAAATCTTTTAAAGAAAATATTTTTAATATAAATTTAAAAATAATAATTATAGAATTAGAATATTTCATTATTCAATTAACATAATTAAAAATAGTGACATTAATCTTTAATTCTTTTTTTTTAAGTATATATCGATTTAATAATATAAATTTTATATTAAAAAGATTTCCTTAATATACATAACCTTTGCTTTTATAATTTCAAAGATAAAATAGTTAATTTTAATATAACACTAATAAAATTATTTAAAACAATATTAATTTGTAATACAATTTATATTTCAGCTAAATATTAATACATTTATACATAATACATAATATTAATACAATTTTTCGAAAATTTTAAGTGCAATTTCTTCATCCATCTTTTTCTTTTTCTAAGAAATCGGTTTTTCTTCTTTTTCCAAAAGATTATTATTTTAAAAATAAGATATATATAATAATTTTATAGTTCATTATAATATATATAATATGTGATAAAAAAATCCTATTAATTTTATTGCAATAATCTATATCATATTTAAAAAAAAGATAGTATAAATTTATTAAAGAAACTAAGCAATAAATTTAGAAATGTAATGAATCAATAATTGTTTTTATTAAATTTTAACATAATTATTATAATAAAAATATTTTTATTTATAATATTTTATATATTAATTTTTAAATTTTTTAATTTTGTTTTTTTTAAAGAATTGTTATTTATTTTTAAATCTTCACATAAAGATATTAAAAATTATCAAGATTGCAATATAGCTCATTGAAAATAATCATTACAAGTAAAAAGATGAGCAAAAATCTTCCATGAAATTATTATTAATTTTTATTTTCTAATCTATTTTTTACATTTACAAATAAATTATAAAAGTTTTATTATCCTATTAAATTTTTTAAATAAGAATATTTATATTATCAAATAAAAAAGATAAAATATGAAATAAAAGTTTTATTTTCATAAATAATTAATATAATTTATTAATTCATAATTATAAAATAATGAACAATAAAAATTTGATATTTTTAAAAGAAATTTACGATTAAAAAATTTTCTTATTAATTGTATTTAATGAAATTAAAACAATTTGCTTTTTGTCATTGCCTATTTTTATTGTCCTTATTATATTTTATTTTATTGTCCTTAGTTTTATCTCATAATAAAATTATTTAAAAATTTACTAAATAATATGTTATAATCAATATATAAATATATTTAATAATATATTTAATAAATGAAAGTCGTTGATAGAAAATATTATTGTCATATTATAATTTATTAATGTATATTATGTTTAATTCTTTCTATATTATTTATTACCCAAATTCAAATCTTTTCAAGTATAGTCATTTTTTGAACGATAAAATCGTACGTAAATTACATAATTAAGAGTTTAAAAACCTTTGTTATCTGTTCACGTGGTAACTACTGATCATGTTACATGTCACGTGATGAATAATTAATTCTCGCATGATTCTTGAAACTTGGATATTATAATTTAAATAGAAGTATAAGTTGAAATTGAATATTTTATTATATATGTATTATATATGCCTCAATGAATATTTTATTATATATATTAACAAATTTTTATAATAATTACATATAAATATAACATATGACTTTCATACATATAACATGTTCAAATATGAATAAATGTCATAAAAGAAAAAAGATTAATAGAAATTGAAAAAAAATTATAGAAATTAAAATTAAAAATATTATATATTAATACTTATAATATATAAAACTTATTTTATATTTATTATTTCCTAAAGTTTTAAATAAATTATACATATTAATTTTTTGTTTAATCTAAAAAATAATTGAATAAATTTAATTTTAAATAAGAAAGATGAAAAAGTTTGTCACTATGATTATATAATGTTAGAGAATATTCTATATTATAATCTTCAAGTTTTAAAGTATACTTAAATATGACTAAAAAAAAAGAAAAAAAAAAGAAAATAGATTAATATGATCAACTGTAAAAAAAAGTGATAGAATCGTATGATATCTTAAGATATCGTAAGTTCTGATATTACTTATGTGCGTAGTATGTTTTAAAACATTCAGTTGACCGCCAGCAATTTTGCAGGGCGGATGTTTCATTCCATATTTTGAATTATATTTCATTAATTAAAAAAATTAGTAAAAAAAAGATTTAATTTATATAATATTTATTAGATGAAATATTGAATATTTTTTTATAAAGTGAGTGTAATTTTATTTATAGTTTTGTATTTTATTACATTGTGATTCAAAAAATTATTTATTTAAATCAATTAACCAATTAATCAATTAAAATTTTAATTTATTATTTTATTAAAAATATTTTATAAAATT